TGAATATGCAACATCGTTGGAAATTGTGAATAAATTAGTCTCCCCACTCCGTACCGGCATTCTCGTGTCCAGTTGCTCTCGAGGCGCTACAGCATCGTGCATCGCGTTTGGACCGTTTCGAAAATCGGAAGCCCGTCGGAGACCAACGGAAGACGGTAGCAAGGCGAGAGGAGAGGAGAGAAGCCTTCCGATGGAGAGAGGGGTGAAGAAAATGAGAAAATATGGCCATCTACAAGTGCGTCCCGTTTCGAACAAGATGGAGAGATGATTTTTCGCTTCTAAGGAACGCGAAAGGAAACAATGCAACCGTCTCCCCCTGAAGTATTTCATTTCCAATGCGACAGTTTCACATTTTGGCGAGATCCTTGAAATCGATGGTCACAAAATGTGTGCAGTGGGTCCTCCTCCCCACACTGCACAGAAACATCTCAGAGGTGTCCCTAACGGGTCGACTCGTCCCAAGGTGTGACATCTTTATTCGACTGCTTTTCGATATCTTGAGGGGAGGTGTCCTTTAGACATCTTCAATTGATAAAATTGATAGGAAAAAAGATCTGAGGCTGAACAGGGCACGTGGAGTCATTATTATGCACCTGACTGAAGGTGAATACAAATTTTTATATGATTTTCAATCCATGGTCCCTTCGTGATTCCGTGAAGAAACGATTGGAGCCGTCCGGCGTGGATGCAGAACACACCGAAACGGTGGATCTCAGATGGCCTCTAGAGGTTCCCACATCGTTGGAAAGGTGCATGGACATTGAGAGAGACTTTGTTGAGAAGCTGTATTAGCGAAACCTGCGTTCCATCATGCGTACGCTTGGGAGTGAGAAATTAAAAATTCTTTTTGACCGACCCTCGTATATCACGCATACAAGAATTCTCATAGGATTCAGGTAACAAGGAAATTAGATACTAAGTCTCTCAGCACAACCTTACGAGTGCAACCCTTCCTCCCAAAGCATTAAGGCAAATTCTGAAAAAAAAAGGAACAATTCCGCTCCATCCATTCCGCTCGACACATATTCTTGGAGTCCCATAGATCAGAAGGAGCCACTTCCTTCCCCTCATTACATTTACCTGAATGACAGATCGGGGCCGGTAGGAAAAGCGTGATGGAGGGGAAGAGGAATAGCAGTAATTTTCTCTATTACTGGAACATCCTCGAACGTCCGGCGAATGGAGGATGCCCTGTCCCTGGGTCACTACACTTGGGTCTTGTTCTTTCATTCTGTAATTTGTGCATTAGAACAGATTTCGTCCTAATTTTAAAGTTGAAACTAGGCATTTGATGCAAAAAGAAATTGTAGTTTGTTTCCTAGTTCTTTAATAGTCCTAGAGCTTAGATTTGGTTAAATTAAATTTGTAACGTCAGTTTATGGTTACCTGTTTTAAGTTGCAACCGTTTTCCAGTTTTTTTTTTAAAAGCAGATTTACAAAAGTCTTTTTTCAGTAGCTTAACACCTACCTCGTTACAATTACGCAAGCGAAAGGTATTTTTTATTTTTTATTCCTTCTTGCTGGAAGCTGCGAGGGGAATATCCGAACGTGACAGATGAACCAATGACGGCTACTTTTAAGCATCAATGCCAAATGGATTTCGACCAGCGAAGTCCCAGCACATTTGTGCGTTGGGTGCCGGTCAGTAGCACTAGAGCTCAATACAGTATAATAAAAAAAAAACATTCGTTGAAGATCTGAATTAGCTGCAGGTACAGTCAATAACATAGGCAAGGATGGTGGCCTGCCTCGTGAGTGCCTCCTAGATGGATTTGGGCTACGTGACAGCATGGTAACAGCTCCACTTCCTACGCTGTTTTTTTTTGTTATTTTGTTGGCTGGATAGCTGGATCCTAGGCGCATACGGAAGGGGACACCTGGTCCGTCGGCCAACGAAACTAGGAGGGGCTACCCCCCTCCTTCCTACCTCTTCTCTCTGTCAACCCTTGTTTTCTCAAGGGTTTTCCAGACATAATGTCACTGGGGGAGGGAGCAATTCGAGACTTGAATCTGAGAATTGAAGTATACCTGGCATGGGGAAACGAGGGTGCGACGCTGGAAGGGAGTTGTCTAGCCGAGATGGCAGAGCATCCAAAGGGCAACGGTTCCGCTCAAATTCTTCGCATTCTTCGTGTCCCTCGGCAACCATCGTTACTGGTGCCAGAGAATGAAATCAACAACGAGCCCAATTCCAAGAACGGAAGTTGAAAACACTCGTCAAATGGGTGAAGATAGACGAGGCGGATTTGTGACCGTCGTTTCTGGCCCCTCTCCTCCCATCTTTCAAGTTTAGAGAAACACCGCTTTCTCAATAATTTTATATTTTGTAAAATTATTGCAAAAATCGTTTCTAATCGTTTCTTTACAACTTATTTTAATTACAATTTATATTGTATTTAACTGTGCCATTCCTTCGAGTTCACTCTGCGCCGGTTCGTTAATGAGATAATTACATCGCCAGATGAGGTGGTTATCCTCGATAGATCGTAGAGAGGAATCACATGGCATGGATTACAATTTAATCTTAGATTGATCATGGAAGCTGTAAAAACATAAAATGACCCTCTACGTACCTAGCACAAATTCCATTCATCTGTTCTCGTCGTTTCATCCATAAGCTAACCAAGTCCATTAACTCAATGACTGGAGCACAATCACTCCAGATAAGCTAGCCTATTTTCAATACTAGAAGTGGAAGATAGAATAAAATATTCAAAATGAGATCTTAACAAGAGCCAATGCCTGCTGGAAGGATCAACTGAGAGAAGGAATAGAGAAGATATCACTGAGGCAGACTGAGAAAAGTAGGTACACACAGCAAGATGTAGGTGTTCTCTTTATGAAAAGAATGCTGCTATGTATGGCTTAAGATTTTTAAGTTCAAGGTTAAATCTAAATATAGTTGGATAATGCTCTGCTGAAATAAATGAAGCCTATGGAACTATGAGGTTTTACTGTAAAGTAGTAACCCAAACTGCCTAACTTACTATGAACCTTTTAATACTTGACACTTCACTACCATAAGGATATTAAAAAATCCAAGTGAGTGTTCCAAATAGCCTCACCTTTACCCTAACTGCTTACTTTTCCTCTTGGCTCAAGTTAGGTCACTCTGGTTGAGATGATTTTGACACTACAGCAACAATACAGGTGGGTGATTTAGCTCCTAATATTCTAGGCAATAAATAATCCCTTCTACAGGTACTCTCCTATGAAACCTGACTCTTGAATGTATCTATGAATGCATCTGCTGACAAGGGACTCCACTGACTCATATAAAAGCAACTGTTAACATCAATAAAACAAGTGAGGGAATACTAAGCAATTGGTTCTTTTTTTAATTTACCATTTTGAGAGGTCTGGGAGGATGATCATTAAAAAGAGACTAGGCTGTGTTCAACACAAATGTGAACTAATGAGATTTCATGGATGAAAAAGCCACTTCAGGATCCCATAACTGAACCTTCATACAAACTCAACTCAGAAAAGTGCAGATATTTAGAGCATGAGTCAATATTTCCTTAACCCTTTCAGTGCCAGTGTTGATCATATCGACTCATACTTTCTCTGACTAAATTGCCAGCATCGATCTAATTGATGCATCAGTTTTGACCAGAGGGTTTGTATATATTCTAATAGATGGTAGTGGCACCTGGTCTATGTGTATGGGAAGGTTTGTCCTGAAAGATGGCATCTTCTGTTGGACTTTCAGTTGTTTCAGGAAAATAAATTAAATGGCCTCGGCACTAAAAGGGTTAAACACTGACCACAAGGGATAAAATATTGCCATTTCAATGAAGCTGACAACTTCAAATTTTTTATTAGCTAATAAAATGCAAACATACAGGGTATGACAAAAAAAGGTCAACAGCTTTTAAACTAAATATTCCCTCCCACAATTGAACTATTTTTGTGAAACTTTCACTCTGCTTATGTTTCCAACTCATTCTCAAAATTTCAGCTGAATTTGTTGAAGCCAAAGCAATATTATAGGCAATTATTTAAAAGAAGTTACACATTGTGAAGGACAAGAGCTTCTGTGAGAAGTGGAGTAGAGGTAACACTCAAGCACTGTTCTTCCTGACCATCAAGATTATGTTGAACTACTAATTAAATTAATTCATTGGGCTGGTCATCTCTTGCAGGTGGTTTTCATGAAATTATTCCCTATTAAAATATGAATCAATGAATATCAATGCAGACAGTTTTCTCAAAGTTCATTTTAGAACCTCCCTTGGTTCATGTCAATCTGTGTTTGCTGGGGAGGGCAAAAAAACCAGCAACTTAGAAAACATCTCATGATTGCTCAAGTCGCATCTCACCAAATTTGCTTAGGATATAGCATGTCTTCATTTATTTGAAATTCAACAAGGCTGTAAAAACACATTTATTGAAATCAAAGTTAATAACTATATTCTACAAGTCAGTGAAATGGACAGCTTCGTCAAAAAGGCAAGAGAAATTCTGAATGAATTAAGAGAAAACTCCTAGGAGTGATGAATTAATGAAAATGGTTTCATTTCAAACAGGGACAGGAGTACAGGCAATGCAAATTAGATACTCATTGATTCACCAGTGATTCAGCAGGAATAAGCTCATGAAAACCATATGCAAGAGATGACCAGCCTAAAGAATGAATTTAAATAGAAGAAGCCCTATGTGGTCTTCATGACCAGAAAGGAGCACTTGAGTGCTACCTCTACTCCACTACCTACAGGAGCTCCTGTCCTTTCTCAGTCTGGCAATTCAATACAATGTTTAGCTTCATTTGAATGATGGCCTATAATATTGCTTTGACTTTAACAAATTTGGACCAAATTTTGAGAATATGCTGGAAACATATTCATATTCAAGTGAAAGTTTTGCAAAAATAGAATTTGTGATTGTGGGAGAAGATATTTAAGTTTAAAATTACTGGTTCTTATTTTGCCATACCCTGTAGAAAACTGTGCCCACTGTGACAGGATGAGACCTGAGTGATAAATCCATGCATGACAACATTTAGTCATAATACTCTTCATTCAAGATATTCTGAAAACAGACGAATTTGCAGCATTGAACAGATCAGATATATAAAATAGTGATGGTAGCATCAAAATTCCTCCTTTCTGTGAACACATGTGCAGGCAAGATTCTGAGAATCTTGGAAGGCCTTGCATCCAACAAATGTTGTGCCAGTGAACAACACCTTAGCTGCAGCCTTGCAGGCTATTGTTGGAAGAACATGAATTAGTTGGATAGTTATATGGATGGAGAAGTATATCAGCTAAAATCAAAGGATCTCAGAAACCTACCTTGAAGCTGAATGAGGCTGAGCTCCTCATTAACATCATCACAGCATTTATATAGACACCGTTTGAAAGAAAGGTCACATTGGTCCTTGTCGCTGCCACATGTGTCATAACATAAATCATGAGCATTGCAACATTCCTCCATCCCTGAGACAGGCAGGCTTTCTCCTGACACCTGTAACAAATGATATCCATCATTACTTCCCTCTGCCTGAGGCTGAATTATAGGATGATGATGAATGGGCATCATACCATCAATCCATAGGAACCACAACCATTCACATTAGGCTTGTATTCAGTTCTTGCCATAGCCTTCATACCTGCAAGCAAAGTGAAAAGAAATGTACTTTGGGGCAATGCTTTCACATACAGCTTCAATAACACTATTCACAAAATCCATTTCTTAGGTTTTCTATAAGGTGGGCCACCTGAAAGTAGACCTATCAATACCAGCACATATGTATCTTTATTAGCATAACATAAAACATATAGTCAACTCCGCTTAATGGAATATCACTTAATAGAATACTCCACTTAATGGAAAACCATTGCAAAATCTGGATTTATGGTACAATACAGCAGATCATTTCAGTTATAGGAAAACTCCAGATTATAGAATAAAGTACACTGGTCCCATGAGTATTCCAATATGCAAAGTCTACTGTATTTCACACAACTTTGCACTGCTGTCCACGTGTAGCACATGACACAATATGACAGGATTGCATAGGATCTGACATACTCAAAGGCAAACGAGCATCACACTGAGCACTTCTGCCACTACAACATATCTTGGGTATACTTTCAGGCAAGCCACCCCGTATAAAGTAATATAATGAATCTGATCAGGAATTTTGAAAACTCAATACTGATACAATAATAATTAACTTAAATCCCTTTGCTTGAGATATGATGCTAATGACTTTGAGTCAGCATGCCTCTGGAATTTTCATGCTTTAAAAGAATTGTTGCAACCAAAATCAGACTACATAGGAAGAAATTATTAAGACTAAGTAGGTCAGGCACAAGAATGAATATAAAATGGTGGTAATAGACCTCCTAAAACATGATACTTCAAAGCAAATAATTTTGGATGGAACACATTAAGTCTCCCCAATGCCAAGGGACCACCAGAAACTTAAGTCCTGGCAATAACTAGATATTACATAGACAATTATAAAGGCTATAAAACAAAATATAAATCTTTAAAAAGTAAATAAAAATCGTATAGGAAACAAAGGTACTTGGGGTCCTCATGATGCAAAATAAAACCAGCAATGCTGCTGCCACAAGGATAATCAATACATTATAAAGGGAAAGCCCAGAATGGCTAGTAATTTTCATGGCATCAATTTCCTTCATGTTAACACTTTTAATGCCATGTGGCCAATCCATAGGTTTGATCAACTATCTAAAGTTCTTGTAGCACTAAAAGGGTTAAACTAAAGGGCTTCATCTATTTCAATGGCATTCCTTTTCTTTCTTGAGTAAAAGCATCTTCAATGCATACATAATATGTGGGAAGGAGAGAATTGGGACTGATGACAAATGCAAAAGGACTAGTACATGAAAAGCTTCCTAACTCCCTAAAAGTTTCACATATCTGCATCTACCAGATTTTGTAGGATTTGAAATAGATATAACTACTGTAAGTATGCATGACTCAACAAAAAGGTATTCATAGTATCTTCACCAAAGTGAGCAGTTTGGCAGTGCACAAGCTGCACCAGCAAATAGAAGCTAATCAGCATATGTTATACTGCTTCTTGTGTGTCTCATATAATGCATGCTGATGACAACACTTGAGGTGTAGGGTATAATTTGGTTAGCAAAACTTTAACCACCAGTTGCTCTGACATAAGAGTTCCAATATGACTTCAGGAATATGCCTCTAGATATAACAAGTACCAAGTAACATAATTCAACACAAAGGAATTTTGCTTTCAGTCAAGCTCGGTGCATCCCTCTTAAAATGTCATGAACCCTACCAATAGATGGTTGCAAAAGCACCATGATGTTCTGGACTGGCAAGTGGAGATTGTATAAAACTAAGTTATAACCATTTTAAATCTTGCAAATTCTTGTAAATGCCTGCACAGAACACCAGTGCACATGCAGCAGAGCTGCCACAGGGCTTCATATACTCATTAGAGTGGAGGTGTGCACAAAATAAACATTATCCTTGCTTTTCATCTCACAATGCATGGTAATTGTGTGAATAAATCATCACAAATGTTCAATTGTACAATGTGCTGTCAATGCAACCATCATTTGGGAGAGAGGAACAGTTTCACAACTATAGGAGTATTATAGGAACAGTTCCTAGTATTATAGGAACAGTTTCACAACTTAAAAGAAGCACACGAACAGTGATGGCCTGAGCTACTAAGAGATTTGGAAATTTCTTGAAAAGCCACAGCCCTTCTTGAGTCAGTGGGATGGGAAAGGAGGTGGACTGGATATTAAAAATGAAAAACAAAAAATTAACAAATAGCCTCCAACTTTGTAGAACGTACATTAGTTTAGGGACACCAGATAAGCACTATGGAACAAGATTAAAGCAAGCTTTACTTGAACTCATTTCCACTGAGGACAGGGTTATGGGTAAATTTAAGGCTTTTTTGACTGCCTTTCTTTGTTACACTGCTTGGTATTTAACTACCTATCTCCTTTCACTCATCAATAAGGATAGGCCTATCCTATAATATATAGAAAGATCGAAACTCCTATCCATACACTCCTCAGGGAAAATTGTGAAAACTGAAGCTTTCAAGCATTAAACTTCTGTTTTAAGCACAAACCATTTTGAAGCCATCCTCATTGTGACTATCAGAAAAGGGCATAGCCCTACTCCTGGAGAGGTAGAATTGATGAGCAAGAAGAGACTTGAAAAACCCATTGGGTAGAAAAAAAGTTCACTATGAAAAAGGGTGAATGAGAGTTGGTTTAACAACAAAATCAAGATTTGGAGAAAGGAAAACATAGGAAACAAGGACCGAATGAAGGTTCACCTGTACACAATTCACTGTGATAAGACTATGACAAAAGAGGATAGCTCCTTGCAAATTATTCCCTTCATGCACTCTCATGTTACAATGTTGCAGTTCTATATTAATAATTTAATGGTGCCCAATACCATATCTGATTTCATGTTATTCATATTAACAATGGATATAAAAATGGAAAATTTGATAAGATTCCTTCAATGATAGACCAACTGCTTCAATAGCCTTAGCATGATCATGACTCTGAAGCTGCTCTAAATACACGATTTAGAATAAGTATCATTCACACAAAGAACAGAATAACAGGATCCTCTTTATTGCATTCAGGCATGCCAAGCAAAAAAAAATCAACTTTGCCGCCTTAGGTTGCATGACAACGTCGCCCAATGTCTGACGTTCACTACTAATGTATAACGTCACCTGTAGCCACATTGGCTACGGTCAAGGCCACTATAGGTTTACTTAGGCCTATACTTGGCGTACCTTATGAACAAACGCCTAGAATGCAGACCTTTGGGACATTTGAAGAGACAGTCTTCTTCCACTGCGTCATTGATGACGGCCGTGAATTCCAAGGCCACTTTTACGAATTCGAGGAAGCGACTCCCGAAGTAGCGAGCATGATCCAGAAATGACGCCTCTGCAAGCAATGGACCGAATGCTCGGCCTGAGCCTATGAGACAACTGGAGAGGAATAAAGCAAGGCCATATCCGAGGAATGACATGTCGCGCACAAAATGTGCCATATTCCATGGTTCGAGGCCAAGAGCCTTGGCAAGAAAGAAAACTTTGATCAGATCTGTGAACAGAGAGCTACATAGAGCTACGTACTATCAATCCTAACTCAGGGAACACGTGAATCTGTCGGCTACCTCTCGTGACGTCGATTTGAGCAGTGTTGCTACTCTGCTACTTGCAAGTTGTGGTCATTTCCTCTATCACACTGCATTTCTGACTCTATTACGCACGGATCTGGGATTAGTTTACCTTCGTGCTTTGTTTAGTATTATACAATGTTCTAGAAAATAAGATGAATTACGGTAATCTGAACTTCCACAGATTACATCATCCCTCAACACTGACTTATGCCACATATTTTTCACGTTAGTCACTTATCTGGCTGAGAAGTAGAACCCAACCAGAGATACTGTGTGCGTTCCGACGTGTCCGGAGGTAAATCTTGTTTAACTACCGTCACCTCGACGTTACTGACAGAACTGGTACAATTCCAAAATGAAGTACATTGTGGTGCAACACTTAAAAAGAAATACGTAGCATATTAATGGTGTTCAGATGTCGGAAAGGAAGACGAATTCATGTGACTGTCACAGGGACTCTCATGGTCCTTGGTCCAGTTAACCTTATCTCTTACCACCGCACTCATGTCGGCGCTCCCAAGATGATGAGGCACACGGAGATGAAAATGGAGAACGAAGACCCAAAAGAACAAATAGCTGTAAAACTGGGACTAGAACCTCCTGGATGCTTGGTGGCGTACGTAGGATTTTTGGAAGGGGTGCTCCGGCCAGTTGCGTAGCGGGGGAGGAGGAGAGGGGAGGCTGAAGCCTCCCCAACTATATGGATCCACCAACCCTCCCTCTCCGTTCCCTTCACCCACCCTTTGGCGAAATCCTCGCTACGCCACTGGCTCGGACGACCTGCGTACGCCGCCATGAATGCTGTGAGATTCTTTGCATAGACGACAGTGTACGAATGATAGCGAATTGGTGGGGAAAGAAGAGGCGACTCTCCACCCCCGTAAATGTTGCGCGGATGAAAAAACTGTGTGCGTGGGGGGCACTGGAACTCTGGGACACTGTTATGCATTTCATGGTTTTTTTTTCTTTTTTTCGGCTTCTTTTCTTAAAAAAAAAAATCCCGCACTGGTCTAATAAAAAGTTTCGGTCCAAACTTTTCTCCAATCTGCTGATGCAACTCGCTCATAAATTCCACGATTGCTTCAAACCATCAGAGGAACTAAACGATTTCGCGCTTCTTCACTCCCCTAAGCCGAGTAAATTAGTATGTGGGCACACAATTTTCCAATTTGACCTGTCAGCCATGAAGTGGCTCGCACTGATCAAATTGGAAAGCGACTTCACCAATTGCGAACGATCCGATCCCATCCTTAGACCTGGCAGCTGCGATTTACAGGGCAGCAAGCTCTCGGCGAGTGTCGGAAGAATGAGACCACTCGTCACTCTTGAGATGTTGACGTCGAATGTCGTAAGGTGTTGACGACAGAGCCGCGTGGCACTGAGCTCTTAGCTGGAGCATGAGTGACGCTAAGTGGAACGCTCTCGTATGGCTACGTTGGGATGGACGAATGGAAATACCACCGTATGACAGTACGATAGGCGTGATAGGAGTATATTCTGGATCTTTCATCGCTAATACGCCTGCGAGACGAGCTGATCGTAGCTAATACGCGTTGCTGGCATCTAAGCCGTGCACGGGCCGTCGCGATGTCAAAATATTTGGAGGAGACGGTATCCTCGAACGAGAAGACAGGTTCCGTGCACGAAGACGTTAGGAAAAATCCGGAAGGGAAGAGAAGAGATGGATGGACTCGACGAGTCTCACCCATTTCCGCGGCGGGACTCGGTGCCGAGGCGGCCTGCGATCGAACGCGAGGCGGGTCGGACCCGGCCGCCACAGACGCCAGGCCGTCTGGAGGCTCCACAGCTGCCTGCACGCTGCTCTCGTCACTCGAAGCATCAGGTCCTGTCGATGGCGTTTGTCCCCTCTTTTCATCTTCTTCTTCGCCTCTTCCTTGTGGTAGGGGGAGAAGGACTTGACGGGCTCGCTCTCCTTCCCGCCTACGATGTCTGCAGCGATGGGATGGAACCAAAAATGCCCGCTGAATCTCATGAGTAGGCAGTGGTCTATTGGCTTAACTTGTCGCTAGTTAGGTGAAAAAGTAACTTTAAGGAAATGCTTCCCTACATGACCCACGTACACCTACAGAATCTTATTTGGAATCTTGGTTACGGTCGTTTTCCAACTTTAGGATGGTCAATGTTTTCGAAGCGCTCTGAACACGAATCGCTGCAGTGATCGATGAACATACCTCGTCTTCTTCCTCCCACGCAATCGGGAGGGACTTGGGGCTCCGGCAGCTTGATGGTCCACACCCGGTCTCGATACCTAAGGAGGCTTTTGTTCGGCTTCCTCGCGAATCGAACAGCCAATGGGCTCTTTGCTCCTGGCAAAATTATTTGACCGTTTAGGCATCGAATCACCGACTGACAGATCTCTTCAGACTCCATTCTATGGGGTACAGCATGCAGGGCTGGTTTTGATTGCGCCTTCCGGACACACGCAGATAAAAGCTTCGTCTTTGGTAGAGAGGCAATTGCATGTTGAATCGTTAAATGCAAAGCTGACATTTTTCCTGATACGAGTATAAGCTTGTGTTGTTTTTGTTTCCTACGCAAGAACATTAATTTAAAATTGTTATCGGTTTCGCCTGTTTTTTTCCTGACCGTTACAAGCAGTCCAAAAAGATTAGAGCAGGAAAATTATCTTCCACAGTTACTCATCACCGATAATAACAGGCAAGAGAGATAATAAAAGACCTGGCGAAACCAACGCCCTTGCTATCGAGCCGCTCATCTCTGAGGATCTTGACTGAGACGACCCGCCCGAACTCCCTGACCATGCCCATCAGCTGCTCCTCGCTCAGCCCCGGCGGAAGGTTGCAGAGGTAGAGGTTCATTCGGTCCAGCTCCATGCCTTCGAGTGTCAGCCCCGACTTGTCAAGTTTTGGGGTGGAGACCCCTCGGAGCACGATCGGGTCTCCCCCCGCTCAAGGAGCCTGAAATTTTCCCTCCGCCGTCGATGCACCTCAATTCGCACTCGGAGTTCCGCGTGACAAAATGGAAAGATCCTGTGAAAACTTCGACCAGATGAATTCTCGTTCGACTTCTCGATACCTAAACTGAAGCGAACAGTCTCGATGATCGTGAAATCGAGAGACCAGAGCAGGTCGACAAGGCGGTGGAGAGTTTCATCAGCACTTTGTGTCAAGTGAGACTTGCGCAGTGGACTCTCGGCCATCATCCCCTCCGATCTGTCTTAATCTGGCAAAGCAGTCGAGCAAGGGAAACTGGGTCTAGGAAATCGAAGTCGCAACATTTCTCCTACACTTATATCCCCCGTCGAGTCTCTGACTGTGGCCATCTTCCTTGAAGCGTTGGTGCAGAGGTGAAATCGCAGGTAATCCGGCGGATTAAGCAACATGGGCTCCAACAGATTGTAGATATGAAATGAAGATATCCACACATTCCGTAATCTTAAGGATGGAAATGTGAGTGAGACATCGAGAAATCACCAGAGGCACAAGCCATGTTTGAAAATGCTAAAACCAATAATGCCTAAACCTGTCATCAAGATCCAGACTCAGAAGCACGCTTACTCAAACTTCCACATGCACAAGAGGACCGGCAAAGACACATGCATATCCAGTAGGAACTCGACCGTGAAAGTATAGGTTACATGAGGGGAGAGAGTCGGATAACCTCAACGGGCCTCACTTCACACATCGATCGGCAGACGGGCGAGTTCCTTTCGATATCCAGATGATTTCGAGGCGAAGCCGAGATGAACCCGACTGCATGTCGAAAAACGAGGACCGTTTTGGGTATCCGACTCTCTCTCCCTCGTGTAAGACATTTATACCGATGCCGAAGGCCCCCTTCGAAAGGGCCGGACGAGAGTTGGAATCGCTGGGTCATCCGACGGCTCCTTCGACACGGCCTCTACGGAGCGCCGTCGGTATGAGGGAAAGGTGAATCTGCCAGACGTGCAACCACGGGCTTTCCCACCCAGCACTCGCGTGCAAGTCTTCGCTCGGCCTCGGGCTATATTCACCCTCTTTCTCGCTCCCTGTCCATGCAACTAGATGTTCTGTTTCCATTAAAACGTGTACCCGGCCCATGCCACTTATTTTTGACAGCACTACAACGGTCTTAAATGAGGCTGGAGAGTCGAATAACCGAGACGAAGACGATCTGCACGATTCGATGCAGGACCTCGTTTTTTCGATATCCAGTTGGGAAACTTCGGCTTCGTTTCGGTCTTCTCCATATCGCAAAAGCTCTTGCCTATTCTCGAGTTCGTAAGACCCGTTAAGTTATCCGACTCTTCCCCCTCGTGTAAAAAAAAACCCTCAGGTATGCAGGCATCTGCTCTGACGACGTGCTGTCTCTTCGGTCTGCATTTACCTCATACTTAATTTTTTTTTTTCTGTCTGGGCTCAGTGAAACCCAGATACGGAGTCTCTCTCCCTCGGGTAAGGTGAAATAGGCACAACGCTGTGTATGCTTTCTGTTTTTCCTTCGTTTCGAGAGACCCTGTGTGGTGACAGGCTTTGAGGTTTAGCTCTGGTTTAGCGTACTCGCAGGTATGCCCGAGAATCACCTTCGATCCAGATATGCTAGCCGTGAAAAGCTGTGAAATGAAATCGGGCAGACCTAACTTATATAGAATATTAACTCTTCTGTTTTGCGGGATCATATCCGCTCCTTAATTTTATTTTATTCGTTTTCGCACAGGATCTGGTTCCACCGTTATTATTTCTTCATCTGCACTTGATAGGTGATGGGGGAGATCGTTTGTGATTTTTCAGAACGGAAACAGAAGCTTTCTGCAAGAGAGTGATCTGCTAAATAATCGGTTCGCACTGCCTGATGTAAGGGGGTTCCCCACAGAGTCTGCCGGTCTCGGAAGCCCGCCCTCGAAGCCAGGACGAGTTCCTCGCCGTCACGGCTTCGTTCGACCTGACCGGACGGGACTTTCACGCGGGAACGGGGAGAGTCCTTCGCGGTACCTCGCTCTGACCGCAGCGTCGGGCCGGTCACAGACGCGGTCCGCAACTCGGAAGTCCTTCTCGTCGCTGCTGCGTCTTCGTTGCACCGCCGGCCGTGTGCTTGGACGGGTTTACGCAGCCGAGTTTTAACCCGTAAGGCTTCCTGTTCCCGGTCGCGCCGTCCGCCCGATGCGACCTCTCTTTCCCCCCCCCCCCCCCCCCCGCCCCCCCCCCCCCCCCCCCCCCTCCGCCCCCCCGATGCGACCTCCCTTCCCCCCCCCCCCCCCCCTTTGACCCTCCAACAAACTCCATCGGTTGCGTCGATTCAGTAAACTCCAACTCGTCGTCGTTTGTCGTTTATTCCGAGACTACATAAGCCTACAATGTCGTAAGAAAAGTAAGTTCGGCAGCATTTTACACCACTGACACGGGCTCCATCGATCACAGAATCACGAATTGTCACCGACGGAGTTCGTCTTTCGCGTTTGTACCAGAAGAAAATCCGTTGGAATCTTCATACACCCGTGCTCTTCCCCGTGGAGCTGCTCTTCTTGGTCGAGGTGGAGTCGATGGAGGGGGCGACGGAGTAGTGGCCCTTCTTGTAGGAGCTGTCGCCTTTCGAGGCGAGGATGCACAACACTCCGAACACCACAGCGAAAAAAACTGGAGAGGAAACAGTTTTCCTTACTATTTCTCAAACTTTTCGATAGAAATTTTCATTCAATTCGTCTCTCAAAAAATCGGTGAAAGCAATCTCTCATCTGCATGACAAAAATCGATCTGGAACCTGTTTTTCCCCGAGTTTAAATAACGATAATTGCTGAATTGGACTGAATTTGGGTGGCTTTCTGCTGGAATGTCTGCCTTCATCGAAATCATTTTTGATTATTATTTCGATGCGTATTCATTTGATTGGATTTTTCTTCTCGATTTGGTTCCTCCGTGAACGCATGGAAGTTTTAGCAGTAATTTAAATTTCATGCCCGGTTCCGTCTGCTCTGTAACTCTCGATTCTCGTGGAATGCATAGGTTTACTTTCTCAAACTTCCTTTGACGTGGGCATTCTCGCATACCGTGTGGAAAATTTCAGTCCTGTATGTCGTCTAGGTTGCTTCATCGATTTTATCAACAGTTTCACTACATGTTTACTCTTAGATCCTCCCCCCCCTACCCATCCCCAACCCACCCACCCACCATCCCCACCGGAGACCGATCCCCAACTGACCGCCAACACCGAGGATGATCGGCCCGATGAGCTGCAGCGGGTCGACCCTCCCATTGTCCTGATTCGTGTAGTAGTTATCCTGCGTGTCCTCGAGCCCGAAGAGCCTCCGATCCGCCCGGTCCGAGAACCCGACCGCCGTCAGCGCGATCCCCAACGCGATGAGGAGGATGGAGAACACCGTCGACGTGCACAGTGCGCATCCGCTCATCCAAAGTCCGCATACCTGGACGGTCGCAGGAAGAAAGTAAGTACGAAGAAAAGTACTCTTTAGGAAATTTTTGCTCGAGAGAAACCGATCGAGTACGCGCGAGTCAAATTTGATTTTGACGCCGAGTTCGCGTGTACTGTGGTTTCAACATTTATTATCGCGTTTATCGATGACGTTTGTTTCGGCGAGATACTTCCGGATTCCGGAATATCTGTGACGAAGTACTTCCGGGTCCCCTCGGAACCGCGTCACCTCGGGTCAGCCCCCCTTAAAAGGCACTTCCGGAAAGACCTTTGTCTCTCGGGGGGATTGGGGGGGTCTTATCTCCATCTGAGTCACGACGAAGGTGCAACGGTCCCTCTCCACAAGATAAGGCTCTTTACATCGCCATCGGTTCCAGGTGGATTTCCTGCCATCAATTCCAGGTGGATTCCCTTGATACGACCTGTACGGATTTCGTTCTGCCTCTCGTCCGCGTCAGCCGCCGCATGAAAGTACCGCGATTGCTTTTTCATGGAGATCCCGTCGTATCGGTTTCCCACCGCGCAGGCGTGCTATGCACCTCAAGGCATAAAGAGGGTAGAGAGTGAGAGAGAGAGAGAGAGAGAGAGAGAGAAGGAGAGAGAGAGAGAGAGAGAGAACCTCCCGTGCTTTGTTAATCGATCAGCATGAACGACCGAGGCAGAAACGGGAACAGAAAATGCAGTACTCGTTTCTTTCGTACCCCATTTCATATGACCCGATTTTCCTCTCTTCCGTCCCTTTTCTTTTAAAAAACCGTCGATTCGCTTTCGAGATCGCATCAAATGATAAACGAAGAAACGAAAGAAATTTGTTCGATTCACTCGGCATTTGGCGGTGAAAATTTTTCGTTCGCTCGTCTGGACGATGAAGCGATCTCGTGCGTGTAAAACTGCGCAATTATCGCCGCCATGTTCTCACATTTTCTTCTTTTTTTTTTTAGATCTCCGAATCGGCGAGCACGTCGATCTCTCGGGGAAGATTCGAATTTCATTGAAATTCCTGGAATCCCTTTGAAATGCGACACAGCTGAGGGGTCGGCGTCACCGTCATCGCCGCGAGCCTGCGCGGTGGCGACGACGTCATCTCCATGAAGACGAAGAGGTCATCTCCATGAACATGAAGACGTCATCTCCCCCGCATGATAATGCACTCATGAATATTCATGGAATCATTCCGGAACGAAGCACCTTGAAAAAAGTTCCTTCGCCATCGCGCAGTTCCTCGGATTCACGCACGGCACGACCCACCCCGCTCGCTTCCCATCTCCTTAACGATTCTCCAAATAATAAATAATTAAATAACTCGAGCGAATGAAAATTTCTTGAAGCGAAAGAAAAAAAAAAGGGTCATACCGAGAAGCCCTCCTTGGGAATGAGGCCTCCGCCGGCGCCCATTTTCCGTCGCAGGTGAAAGTGCACTGGATGGAGTGGAATTGCGTCGCAGGGGTGGAAGAGGATGTGGACTGGGAACACTTCACGGTCTGGGCTGCTCAAACATGTCCCGTGAGGCGCGTCTTATCGCGAGATAGGGAGGGGAATGGCAAATATTTCCGTTATGGTGCGCGGCTTGGCAACGACATCGCGGGGATCGCGATCGAATGTCACGGAGAAGGGGAAGGGGAGCAGGGGGGGCAGGGGGGGGCAGGGGGGCAGGGGGGCCAGGACGAGTTGGGATGCGGATTTGCTTCGTTCTGCGAGAATTTTCTGCGGGGATTTTCGAGTTTGTTCCAGGGTTAATGAGGAGTCGTAGTATCGAGAGATACGGAGAGATGACGATATCGGTCGATTCAGATGAAGTCACTCGCAATAGTAGAGGATGGGTCCACCTCCACGTTTTCCTCGCTAGGAACACATTCCATGCGTCGCATCGTCCGCTAAGAGTGTAGGAGAAGGATCGTCGTGGATCTTCCTGTAAGGAAGGGGGAGAGCTGGAAGGAGCCGAGATAGCTCAGTTGGGAGAGCGTTAGACTGAAGATCTAAAGGTCCCCGGTTCGATCCCGGGCCTCGGCACGTGACATTTTATTGTCCGCTATTTTTTTTCCCCTTGTCCATCACCTACAAAGGGAAGCCTGGGGAAAATTCGACATGCACCGAATAGTCATGCCCACAGTAATGAAAGTCGAAGTATAAGATTCCGTAAAATAGTAGGGCATTACAGGTAAACTTTCCCCACCACCCACCCTCGAATTACGGGACAGGTTTCCCTTTTCTTCCATAAGCACCCGAGTACGAGTGGTGTTCCGAATCCCTCTCGGAAAGCTCGTGGGAACGCCTGAAAAAAGCATGGGAACGCAGAACCCATGTGTTCTCTTTGTTTCCATCAAGTACACCTTGGCATGCGGATAAGATTAAGCATTGATTCAATTCTGTAAACTGCGAATTCCATCGTCTCATATTTCACGTCACTGGTGATTCCCAGAAAACATGGCAGCCCACAGCAGCGATCGCGCGAACCTGCGTCTGACTTCCGAGTGTCGTTTTATCAGCGTTCGCTCCCCTTCCCGTTCGTTGGCCCGGTGAGTACTGACTCCTGCTTAGTGCTTCATGCATTTAGTACGAGGAGCGATCGAGTGGAGCGAGATAGAAGCCATTATACCGAGGGTGTAGAACCAGATAAGCAAAATCGACGACGGCGTGACACCCTTCGGCGCCGTAAAGGGCGACATCTAGCCCGAGAAAGGTAAAACGAAGACCTCGTAAGAACTCGGAGAGAGGACGCGACCCACCTCGGCATAGAAACGGAAGGCATTTGATCCCCTCGGATGCAGTCCTTGTCCGTGCAGCGAGGGTGGAGGTTCTCCCCGCCGTCTTGGGGTAGGAGCAGCGCTTGGTCTATTCGTTTCTATTGCGGGATCGCGGCTCGTGTTGCCGAGGCTCTTAACGGTCTGATATTCGGTGCAATGTTCATTTTTTTTTGGACGTTTCCTTTCAGGGACGTCATCTCGTGGGTTAATTTTTTTGCACGATCGCCGAGTTACATTTTCATGGTTTCAGATGTTTTTTTTGGGGGGAATCGCACTCGCTTCCTTTCCTCTCGATATGGACGAATAAAACGTAATATTTCTCCGAATTATTTCTTACGTCAGACCACGATCTAAAGCAGTGGTGCACAACCTTTTCCCCGTAGAGGGCCAAAATTTAGATTTCGAGTCATGTTTGAGGGGATGGAGGGCCGCAGACCCTCGAACATGAGCAGAAATAGGCCGCATATAAATATGGATCTTTAGAGATCGGAGGCATCCAAGGGGCCGCAAAAAGGGTCACTGCGGGCCGCGGGTTGTGCATCACTGATCTAAAGGATCCTCTGGTCATGCACAACGACTGCTAAAAGCCGCGTCGTAACCGCCGCGGTCGTCGCAATTCGTCGCAATGGATTCGCACTCGAACGCTGTTTCGCAACGGAATCGGACGAATCGAATCGTCTCTTCGCAGTTTCGCATGTGCCCACCTTGCATAATGGGGTTGTTCGACGACGAGAGGCAAATCGCATCAGTACAAAAAAGTCCCCTGTTGCATGGCACGTCTAGATATACCGTGGGATCACCTACACTTTTAGAAAAGAGTGAGCGATTTCCTCCAAGAGAGCGAAACTGGAGTTAGCGGTTTTACTCTTTAAAGACAAGGAAGTGCAGTCGCTCGCCTCTCTCTTTCCTGAGAATAACCATTAATTTTTTCTACTTGTTTGAAAAGTTCCCTCCCTCATTTGTTTCGCGCTCTTAAAAAAAAAATTGGATTTTTCTCTTATAAAGGTGTAGTTATCGATTACACTTCTTCGTTTTCAGGGAGTAAAACCGCTAACTCCAGTTTCGCTCCCTTTCTCGGATACCGCTCACTTTTTTCTAAGTGTACCGCAGCAGGTGATCCAAGGGACGGTCATCGTCTATGTCACACTCATACCTATTCGTATTGTGCTGCCGGACGCAAGAAAAAAAAGAATTACCTGGATTGTACCATTAAGGCGTGACGAGCGAATTGCGATCCAATCCCAGCTTAACTGTCCGAACATCGATGGCTTTACACTCCTAGAAAAAAGTTAGCGATTTCCTCCAAGGGAGCGAAACTGGAGTTGGCAATTTTACTCCTTAAAAACGAGGAAGCACAATCGATAACTACTTCTTAACCCTTTCAGACTCGAATTAAGGTTGCTATCGGAATAATATCCTTTTTCGCATTTTTGAGCTCTTTTTTGTGCTTGCAATTGAAATTTTCGTGCTTTATATGTAGTTTTCATATTTTGTATAAATTTACCATATCATTCCATATATTACATATTATACATTTAATTAAATAACTGAAGATTATAAAACTAATGGGTGAAATAAGGCCTCTGATGCAACTGAGCCATGCATAATTACGCCCATTTTAGCGTAATATGGAGTGCAAAGTCACGAGAATCCAAAGAAATTGCCATAGACAATGCAAATGCAATGTCCATTGGAATGGACGCCAGGTCTGAAAGGGTTAATATGAACAGAATCAATAACTTTTTTAAGTGGGAGGGAGTTTTTAGAGCATGAAATCGCAAACTCCAGTTTCGCTCATTTGGAGGAAATCGCTCGCGCTTTTCTAAGAGTTTACTCTTTTCATCTCGGGGAGATTGCCAGCATGTGCTCTGGGGGAAATGCATCGTCTGAAGTTTGTAGTTCCCTGTTCGTCGTCTCCTGGACACCGAAAAAGGGTCTCGAACAGCTCGGGGGGTCGTTTTCATCGACTTACGAAAATACTCCGATCGTGTTCGATGGCAAAATTGGCAAAAAATCGATTGGCAAAAAATCGATTGGCAAAAAATTTTGCGCCGAGCTGCGAATTTTCCCCATCTAACGGTGTGATCTGTTCGAAGAACGCACACCCACCGCTCTCGAGAGCTTTTTTTTTCAGAAGTCGCAGAAAAGCGCAGCTAGGGTGCCCAGCGACCAGAGGGGGAGACGCTTCGCGAACGACCGCAGTCAAAAACGACTGCGGACAGCACAGACGATCGCATTGCGGCAATCTTCGCAGTCGGTGTGCATCGGCCTTTAAAGTTGCATCTGATGGTCGCCGCAACGCTTAGGCTGCTGGGATGCTGTTGCCCGACGTTTGTCGGTGAAGGAACCCATCAGTTTCCATCGTAGAACCGCTTGCCCTCTCCTTTCCTGATCTTTGATCTTTCGTTTCTGCGTTGGATTCGAGGCTGGCCTCGATTGGCAAGTTACACTCTGCCTATTCGTGGAGCAAAATCTCATTCTGATTTTTATTTAATGTGCCGCTTCCCAACGGCGGACTTCACGGGGTTCTCTTTCGATTCAAAGAAGGTAGACCTCGATCTGTATTGAATTACGTGGATTCCATCGCTCGAGGATGGCCTCTGCCGTTCATTCCCTCTAGCTAGTGGCTGCAAAGACGAAGCAACGCAATAACATGGAACCTACTCCACACGATAAGGAAAGAAAACACTCGGGTCTGAAGCGGGAGTGCCGTGTTCCCTTATGGCTCTCCACTCTCCATCCACTCCTCCTCCACTCTCCCTCCCTCGCGCTTTGGCTCTTCTCATTGTTTTTTTCTGTATTGGAAAAGTTTCGAGTTTAGTTGCAGCATGCACGATTTCAGTGGGTCTGATCTCGGAGAGAGAATACAGCACGGCATGTGCCGAGTCACTCAAGACTTATTCTTAGCATGACTTAACCCTTGAAGAAGAGACCGTTTCAACGAGGGACGAAAGATCGCTTGTGCTGGCCATAAGGAGCTCCGAAAAAAGCTGAATGGGACAATTGAACTGCAAACTAGTTCGAGTTTTGATTTTTTTTTTCCATTTCTCAATAATACATTTGGTCTCCTCCGTTGCTATGTTTCGCAGATGAAGTCGCAATTCGGGATGAAGCGATAATTCGGAATTCTATTCCGATGAATAGAGAAAAGCCGTCTGCAGGCAGCCGAGCGACACGGCCAGCATAAGTGCGGCAGCGGCCGCGCTCGGCGCGACACCTGCACGAAGCGGCAGTCCCTAGGCGCGCTCGGCAATGCTCGTGGACGGTGAGTCCTATCACCTGTCTCTTTACGGACCATGGTTCGACCAGGCCGAAAATTGTTTTTCCGTTGCAGTATGACTTTGACCCCAAATACCCGGAACCAGTATACCTTTCATTCATAGCCAGTCATATTCCTGAAACAGAAAACGTCACTCCGCGTCGTGAGGAAGTCAAGGTTCCCATTCGGCAAAAAATAATGAGCTTGTTCAGTTCTACGATTTATTTTTTCTTGCCTAAAATCGTTTTCATTCTTCCAGATTGGAGCGAAAATGGACAACTGAAAATTTATACGATCGTGCTTTTCGACAAGTGAGATGATGGGACTCAGAAAAGTACGTGTGCAACGCATCATGAATACTCGGATGCGAAAAAGGACAAGAGAAAGGGCATGAGAAAGTTTAAGGACAAAAAAGGACGAGACGACAAAAAATATGAACTGGAAACTGGAGTAGAAAGATTCCTGCCTGCAGAATTGAAATTCATCTTCTTGGTGAGCACCACCCACACTTACCCATATCACCCAATTTCCTTACTGTAATCGGTAGACT